TATATATATATATTATATATATATATATGGGCTATATATATATATTTTATATATATATATATATATATAATATATATATATATATATATATATATATGGGCTATATATATATATTATATATATATATATATATATTATATATATATATTTTATATATATATATATATATATGGGCTATATATATATATATATTATATATATATATATATATATATATATATATATATGGGCTATATATATATATATATATATATATATATATATATATATATATATATATATATATTATATAATGGGCTAGTAACCCCTTTTCCTGTAAAGATTACTAAAAAGAATAAGAAGAAAGAAAATTGTCAAAGTGGGAAGTCTGAATGTGCCCTGGATGTTGTGCAAATGATAAATAAGAAAGAGATGATTGTGGATGTTATGAATGAGAAGAAACTGGATGTCCTGGCTTTAAGTGAAACAAAGCTGAAGGGGGTGGGAGAGTTTCAATGGAGAGGAAAAATGGGATTAGGTCAGGGGTTTCAAATAGAGTTAGAGCTAAAGAAGGAGTAGCAATAATGTTGAAGGATAAGCTATGGCAGGAAAAGAGGGACTACAAATGTATAAATTCAAGGATTATGTGGAGTAAAATAAAGATTGGATGTGAAAAGTGGGTTATAGTAAGCGTGTATGCACCTGGAGAAGAGAGAAGTGTAGAGGAGAGAGAGAGAGATTCTGGGAAATGTTGAGTGAATGCATGGGGAGTTTTGAATCAAGTGTGAGAGTAATGGTGGTTGGGGATTTCAATGCTAAAGTGGGTAAAAATGTTATGGAGGGAGTAGTAGGTAAATTTTGGGGTGCCAGGGGTAAATGTAAATGGGGAGCCTTAATTGAGCTATGTGTAGAAGAAATTTGGTAATAAAGTAATACATATTTTATGAAAAAGAGGATAAATAAATAACAAGGTATGATGTAGCACGTAATGAAAGTAGTTTGTTAGATTATGTATTGGTGGATAAAAGGTTGATGGGTAGGCTCCAGGATTGTACATGTTTATAGAGGGGCAACTGATATATCGGTATCATTATTTAGTTGTAGCTACAGTTAGAGTAAGAGGTAGATGGGAAAAGAGGAAGGTGGCAACAACAAGTAAGAGGGAGGTGAAAGTGTATAAACTAAGGGAGGAGGAAGTTCGGGCGAGATATAAGCGACTATTGGCAGAAAGGTGGCTAGTGCAAAGATGAGTAGTGGGGGGGTTGAAGGGTTGGAATAGTTTTAAAAATGCAGTATTAGAATGTGGGGCAGAAGTTTGTGGTTATAGGAGGGTGGGGGCAGGAGGAAAGAGGAGTGATTGGTGGAATGATGAAGTAAAGGGTGTGATAAAAGAGAAAAAGGTAGCTTACGAGAGGTTTTTACAAAGCAGAAGTGTTATAAGAAGAGCAGAGTATATGGAGAGTAAAAGAAAGGTGAAGAGAGTGGTGAGAGAGTGCAAAAGGAGAGCAGATGAAAGAGTGGGAGAGGCACTGTCAAGAAATTTTAATGAAAATAAGAAAAAATTTTGGAGTGAGTTAAACAAGTTAAGAAGCCTAGGGAAAGTATGGATTTGTCAGTTAAAAACAGAGTAGGGGAGTTAGTAGATGGGGAGATGGAGGTATTAGGTAGATGGCGAGAATATTTTGAGGAACTTTTAAATGTTAAGGAAGAAAGGGAGGCGGTAATTTCATGCACTGGACAGGGAGGTATACCATCTTTTAGGAGTGAAGAAGAGCAGAATGTAAGTGTGGTGGAGGTACGTGAGGCATTACGTAGAATGAAAGGGGGTTTTAAAGCAGCTGGAACTGATGGGATCATGACAGAAATGTTAAAAGCAGGGGGGATATAGTGTTGGAGTGGTTGGTACTTTTGTTTAATAAATGTATGAAAGAGGGGAAGGTACCTAGGGATTGGCGGAGAGCATGTATAGTCCCTTTATATAAAGGGAAAGGGGACAAAAGAGATTGTAAAAATTATAGAGGAATAAGTTTACTGAGTATACCAGGAAAAGTATACGGTAGGGTTATAATTGAAAGAATTAGAGTAAGACAGAATGTAGAATTGCGGACGAGCAAGGAGGCTTCAGAGTGGGTAGGGGATGTGTAGATCAAGTGTTTACATTGAAGCATATATGTGAACAGTATTTAGATAAAGGTAGGGAAGTTTTTATTGCATTTATGGATTTAGAAAAGGCATATGATAGAGTGGATATGAGGAGCAATGTGGCAGATGTTGCAAGTATATGGAATAGGTGGTAAGTTACTAAATGCTGTAAAGAGCTTTTATGAGGATAGTGAGGCTCAGGTTAGGGTGTGTAGAAGAGAGGGAGAATACTTCCCGGTTAAAAGTAGGTCTTAGACAGGGATGTGTAATGTCACCATGGTTGTTCAATATATTTATAGATGGGGTTGTAAAAGAAGTAAATGCTAGAGTGTTCGGGAGAGGGGTGGGATTAAATTATGGGGAATCAAATTCAAAATGGGAATTGACACAGTTACTTTTTGCTGATGATACTGTGCTTATGGGAGATTCTAAAGAAAAATTGCAAAGGTTAGTGGATGAGTTTGAGAATGTGTGTAAAGGTAGAAAGTTGAAAGTGAACATAGAAAAGAGTAAGGTGATGAGGGTATCAAATGATTTAGATAAAGAAAAATTGGATATCAGATTGGGGAGGAGGAGTATGGAAGAAGTGAATGTTTTCAGATACTTGGGAGTTGACGTGTCGGCGGATGGATTTATGAAGGATGAGGTTAATCATAGAATTGATGAGGGAAAAAAGGTGAGTGGTGCGTTGAGGTATATGTGGAGTTAAAAAACATTATCTATGGAGGCAAAGAAGGGAATGTATGAAAGTATAGTAGTACCAACACTCTTATATGGATGTGAAGCTTGGGTGGTAAATGCAGCAGCGAGGAGACGGTTGGAGGCAGTGGAGATGTCCTGTCTAAGGGCAATGTGTGGTGTAAATATTATGCAGAAAATTCGGAGTGTGGAAATTAGGAGAAGGTGTGGAGTTAATAAAAGCATTAGTCAGAGGGCAGAAGAGGGGTTGTTGAGGTGGTTTGGTCATTTAGAGAGAATGGATCAAAGTAGAATGACATGGAGAGCATTTAAATCTGTAGGAGAAGGAAGGCGGGGTTGGGGTCGTCCTCGAAAAGGTTGGAAGGAAGGGGTAAGGGAGGTTTTGTGGGCGAGAGGCTTGGACTTCCAGCAGGCGTGCATGAGCGTGTTAGATAGGAGTGAATGGAGACGAATGGTATTTGGGACCTGACGATCTGTTGGAGTGTGAGCAGGGTAATATTTAGTGAAGGGATTCAGGGAAACCAGTTATTTTTATATAGCCGGACTTGAGTCCTGGAAATGGGAAGTACAATGCCTTCACTTTAAAGGAGGGGTTCGGGATATTGACAGTTTGGAGGGATATGTTGTGTATCTTTATACGTATATGCTTCTAAACTGTTGTGTTCTGAGCACCTCTGCAAAAACAGTGATAATGAGTGAGTGTGGTGAAAGTGTTGAATGATGATGAAAGTATTTTCTTTTTGGGGATTTTCTTTCTTTTTTGGGTCACCCTGCCTCGGTGGGAGACGGCCGACTTGTTGAAAAAAAAAATTATACATGTACACATGTGTATATATATACAGTGGACCCCCGGGTAACGAACTTTTTTCATTCCAGTAGTATGTTCAGGTGCCAGTACTGACCGAATTTTTTCCCATAAGGAATATTGTGAAGTAGATTAGTCCATTTCAGACCCCCAAACATACACGTACAAATGCACTTACATAAATACACTTACATAATTGGTCGCATTTGGAGGTGATCGTTAAGCGGGGGTCCACTGTATATATATATATATATATATATATATATATTATATATATATATATATATATATATATATATATATATATATATATATATATATATATATATATATGTATGTAGTAGTATGTATGTATGTAAAGTAAACATTCACTTGAGTGATGCCCAGGAAGCAAATTCAGAAAATTACAGATGGCGCTATAGTACCCAAATTTTGCATTATTTAAAAATAAATATATAAATAAATCTATATTTATTTATTTATTACAAAAAGTACTAAAAGAATTAAGAACTGTATTTTTCTTTACTTGTATTATATATTAAATCAATTTATTTCAAATATTGTAAATCTTACTCTCATTAATGTAAAACGCATGGCACCTTCAATATAAATTAAAAAAAAAATGTGTATTATACATTGTAACAAAAATATACATCATTTGAAGTCACAAAATGCTTCATTTTTGGTTTCTTATGGATTATGAAACAGGTAAAGATGTTACTTCATTATAATGCAATGACTCATTATTTGGTGTACCTCTGCATGATCGTACAATGTACTTTTATTATTTTCATCAATCTAGTATACAATTTAATTTGTATTTTAAGCCTTAAATGGTCCAAACATATATATACGTTCTCTTGCGTAACGCCCCAAATATTTTGAGAGAAATTTTTTTTTTATAGGAAAAAAGAGCATGTGGTACCCAGGCATCCCCAATTTTTTTTCATATGGCGCACACTGAGTGCGCACACCCATTCTCTCATGTCTAGGCGACTCAGGCCTATCGTGCCAATGTTGAATGACTGACAAAGGAAACGTATACAGTGGACCCCCGGTTAACGATATTTTTTCACTCCAGAAGTATGTTCAGGTGCCAGTACTGACCGAATTTGTTCCCATAAGGAATATTGTGAAGTAGATTAGTCCATTTCAGACCCCCAAACATACACGTACAAACGCACTTACATAAATACACTTACATAATTGGTCGCATTCGGAGGTGATCGTTATGCGGGGGTCCACTGTATATACATTTGGGGCGCTACGCAAGAGAACGTATATGTACATTTGGACCGTTTAAGGGTTAATCTGCAAAGTGTATCTCATCTCTTCAGTAACACTTGAAGTATTAATATCTGCGTGTGCATTTTAGGGATTATCCAGAGACAGGCATCGAAGATGAAATGTCAGAGAAGAAGCCAAAGGTTACAGCTCAACTTAGCCAAACTCTGGGTGATGATCCTGCTAATTATGTCGCTAAGGTAAATTTCCCAAATTTCCATTACCTTTTACTCACACTTTAGCCAGTGCTGGATATGATTTCTTAATGTACCATTTCAGCTTTGCAGGAGAATGTAATAATAGTTGGGAAGTACAGTACGCTGGTCACTTTTACCTTAATTTGTTTTTTTGTTTATCTAACACTGTATTCTAAATTTGATATATGTAAATACAAGTGCTGCTTGACTTATGTTGGGAATACGTTCTAATGAACCCGTCATAAGTTGAAAATATCTTGTCAAATATGAACATAATAATAATAATTATAATAATAATAAATAATAATAATAATATCTTTATTTACTACAAGCACATGTACAAGGTATACAGGTCTAGCTGACATCAATAACATAAGTACTACTATATAGAAAGCACCTGGTTATGCTGAGCATTTCAGGCAAATTAAGTCAATTTTGTCCTGGGATGTGACCCACACCAGTCGACTAACACCCAGATACCCATTTTATACCAATGGATGAACAAGGACAGCAGGTGTCTTAGGGAAACACGTCCCTAATGTTTTCCACCCGTACAGGAGGAGATTTGAACTCTGAAACTCAGTGTGTGAGCTGAGTGCGCTAGCGATCCAGCTGCGGGACACGGGATACTTGCTGGGCCCTAATGCATTTGAACATTGATTCTCCATAACATTCAGAGCGGAGGCTGCAGCTGATTTTCATCAACGATGGATAATCACATGTGTTTATAATCCTTTTGTTTCCCATATAATCTATTAATGTGCTGGATTGGATAAGAGCTCTGGATAATATTAAATAATAAGCAGTCGTCAGATTATTGGTGATCTACGTCAATTTTAAGTGAATTTTAGGTTAATTTGTAAGACATTGATGGAGTGAGTGATGATGAAAGTGTTTCTTCTTTTTCGGGTCACCCTGCCTTGGTGGGAAACAACAGATGTGTTAAAATATATACAGTGGCATCTTGACTTATGAGTTTTCCAAGTTACGAGCCGTCACTTGGTCGATTTTTTGCTTTGAAGTGCAAGCCAAAATCCGAGTTATGAGCAAGCTTGAGATACGCCTCCACTAGTTGGCACAGTGAACACTACAACAGTGCATATGGTTACCTTGCCGTGGAAGCATCTCGCTTGTGTTGTGCTTGCATTTTGTGCAGTTATTTTGCCAAATTTCTTTTTTTCAACCATGTTTCCTAAGAAAGTAAGTGCAAAGGACAGTGCTGAGAAGAAGAGGAGGATGATGTCCATTGAATTAAAGCATGAAATCGTAGAGCAACACGAGTGAGGTGTGTGTAGTCGACTTGGCGAGGCAGTACAAGCATAGTAGCTACTTCATGCCTCGTGTTTTCTCTGCAAAAAGACACTAGGCATTTATGCTGATTTGCTTCTGAGATATTCACCCAAAACATAGGCTGGTCTTCTGACTCAGAAAAAAAAAATTCTGAGAAAATCACTATTGTTTCAGTGTTTTCCTTATGAAACTAGCGATCTAGTGCAGTTAGCTTCACAAACACTGTTTTCTCTTATAATAATATCTCAGAAGGGCAAGAATGGGAAGATATGGTTAGAGCATTAAATGTTTTTACCTCAGGAGTGGCCGCCACCACTCGTCACATAATGACATATTTTATTCATTCTAGAGTATATACCATGTTTCTATGTTATTTATATTGTTTATTATGTCATATTAGATCAGTTGTGATAGATAAATAAGCTGTAGAGTTGATATTAGCATTATATTGAAGTACTGTATTTTCTCCTGCCTCCCGAGAGCCAGGAATTCCACTGGAACGGATTAATGGTATTTCATTTAATTTCAATGAGGAAAATTTATTTGATATACGAGCAAATTGAGTTACGAGCTGGGTCACTGAATGAATTAAACTCGTAAGTCAAGGTACCACTGTACATTAAGTATATCATTGTCAGTTACACTTGAAGTATTTATAAATTAATAAAATGTTATTAAACCATAGAGTCACTGTCGTTTATTTGACGGCGCTCCTGAAATACAGGCGTTGTCCCCGTAATGGTTCTCTTTCCTTTTTCAGGTGTCAAATGTTGCCGGCAATGTTGCAGGGAAAGTAGGCAACGTTTTTGGAGGGCTGAGTAAAGGTATTGGAGGGATCACAGGTAAATTCGGAGGTGGAGGCTTTTTTTAACTTCCAGGGACTTTTAAAATCGATTGTTTGATCTCAGTAAACAAATGTATCTCACAGTGTTACAACGCAGACTAAGCTAAACTGAAAGTTTTCTTAACTGAGTCCTTCTTTCTTTAAAGGCTTTTTTTAGGCTATTGTTTACTTAAAAGTAATTGTTAGTAAGAAAGATAAATTAAATATATAGCAATGTGGCACTTTCAATGCACAAAGAAATATTGTCTTGTCCATGTTGTATAGAAAAATCTATAGAAGAAATTCTCTAAATACCATTTATACAAAGTGGGGCGGGTGGATATAAAAATATATACAATAGCCATGCATATTTCACACACAAAAACTACAGCCACATATTGTATCATAGGGATGTAGTGTACTGTCTAACATTATGTACCAATTGTAATAAAAGTACATGTTAGCTAATTCTCTGTTATCACAGCACATAGACTGTGCTGACCCGGGTAGCTTTCATATTTTGAATAATATTATGCGTTTAAAAATTTGGTATCTCTCTCCAGACGAGCCACAAGAATTTATTGATGAAATACAGTAATCAGCTCACTTTTTTGCTGTTATTATAAAACTTGTACACACACAAAAAAAATAAATAAATAAAAAATATATGCAGTAGCACACTAAAAATAGACAATAAATTTATCATAAAAGGGAATTTTTCCTTCATTACATTTAATCGCAAAAAAAAAAAAACATTCTCATTCGCTTCACTTTATTGAAGTGCATTTCCCAGAACACAAGTTTTGACATTTCTGTAATAAAATATTGTCTTACTACCTTTATTGACAATAGCTACATGTGCATTTTAAATGGTACAGACAGTATTTGGTTTGTCAGCTACTGTGCGTATTAAAATAACCATATATCTCTTATCTTCTTTGATAGGGCTTATTATCCGAAGTTATAAGGTGTGAGCTCATGCCGTGTATTCACTGAAGCCTGCGCTGTCCACCCACCTACCATTAAAAATATGCCTTATTCATTTTTGTAACACATACATGATATGAAAATTGTCATTCTAGCAAAAACCAGAGTAGTTTTCTTTTTTTAACAATTTGTGTGTACATAAATCTTCACTTTATAATAGATTATGCTTATAGAACAAATTACAAACCAGAGTTTATATAAAAAATAACTTTCAGTATAAGCCTGCTGAATAAAATAAGTTATGCAAAACAAGTACTTAAATGATAACATATAACATTCTTCCAGCAACAGAGATTAGTGTAGCCACTTGTGCACTCTCCTAGTGTCAAGTGCGGAGACTTTACAGATACACACTAGGGGTATGTGCAGAGTTTTGCTGTAGGTCATTTTTACCTACAGTGTTTTGCAAAGTGACCAGTTTTATTTGCTGCATTTCCTAAAAAAAACAGCCCTTCAGATGGTTTTAAAAAAATATGTACAAAAAAAAGATAAAATTTAAATTCAAGGAGCCCACCTTATTACTGAAATGTCAGCTGGAATTTCACACAAATAGTGATTGCCATGATTATATCAGTAATACATATATTTTTTTTCAACAAACCGGCCGTATCCCACCAAGGCAGGGTGGCCCAAAAAGAAAAACGAAAGTTTCTCTTTTTAAATTTAGTAATATCAGTAATATATATATCCAGTAAAGTCAATATAGTTTCAGAGAAGCCTTGGTAAAGTGAATCATAGTTTCCTTAGTATGTTATTCCAGTAAGGTTTAAAAGCAGAGGTGCAGAATTATGATAATAATCTTAACATATACTTTAAACTCATTTTAATATTTACAAAATCCAATTAAACATACACATGTATTCATAGGAAAGTGCTAAATGTGTAGGGGTCATTTAGCAATTGGGGAAAAGGGGGGAAATAACACTTAATCCAAGGAAGGAGTGAGTTTGTTCAAATCATTGAATTACGAACTTTCACTGGCAGGGCAGGATTAAAGCATGGGATTTAGGTCCTGCAGCCCAGGGGCCTCTGCCAACTGGAGGACCTCCAGGGCTATAGCCCAGGGGCCTCTGCCAGTTGGAGGGCCTCCAGGACTGCAGCCCAGAGGCCTCTGCCAGTTGGAGGGCCTCCAGGACTGTAGCCCAGAGGCCTCTGCCAGTTGGAGGGCCTCCAGGACTGCAGCCCAGAGGCCTCTGCCAGTTGGAGGGCCTCCAGGACTGCAGCCCAGAGGCCTCTGCCAGTTGGAGGGCCTCCAGGACTGCAGCCCAGAGGCCTCTGCCAGTTGGAGGGCCTCCAGGACTGCAGCCCAGAGGCCTCTGCCAGTTGGAGGGCCTTCAGGACTGCAGCCCAGAGGCCTCTGCCAGTTGGAGGGCCTCCAGGACTGGAGCCCAGAGGCCTCTGCTAGCTGGAGGGCCTCCAGGACTGGAGCCCAGAGGCCTCTGCTAGCTGGAGGGCCTCCAGAGATTAAGAAAGAAGTTTTCACAGTTACTTCTGTAAGTTTATAATTATAGTTTGTTATTACATCACGTATATGATGGACTGTTGACTATTGTGATTAATTTTTTCCTTTGGAAAATATCACTGGGGACCTCACAGTACCTGTAGCCCAGGGGCCTCACAGTACCTGTAGCCCAGGGACCTCACAGTACCTGTAGCCCAGGAGCCTACAAAATCTTAATATGCCTCTGTGAACCACTGGCATTAAGACAGCTTATATGGGTTAATAATTCTGATATTACTGCTGGTAAAATAAACCAGTGCGGTGGTGTTGTGTTCACCTCAACTTTTGTCTCTGAGGTGTCATCCAGTTTAAGTTATGCATATGCTTTTTTACACCATTTTTGGGTTACCATGTATCTATAGAAAATGTAGAAAACCTTAATTAAATATTATTTAAGTCAAAGCTAAACTCATAAAGGTCATGCATCACTAAGCTCACTAATGGTTACATTACTTTTATTTGTTTTTTTTTTCACATACGTGAAGTTAACATTTCCATTGCTCAATCTGCCTATGTTCGGCAGGAAATGTATGTAGTCGAAATCGAACAAAATAGAATCCATATTTACGGCTAAAAATAGAATCCATATTTACAGCTTTAAACTGCTAGTAATGATGTAGTACTTCTACATTTTAATATGTTTTTTTATATATATATAAAAACTGAGGTTTAAGATCATCACTTTATTGTTGGTATTTTTAAGCTGAAAATTTCCTGTCAGATTCCTTTTCATTTTTAAATTTAATTTCTAAAGGAAATTACCTCTTACTTTTTTTATGTTTTCATTATACAGTGGACCCCCGGTTAACGATATTTTTTCACTCCAGAAGTATGTTCAGGTGCCAGTACTGACCGAATTTGTTCCCATAAGGAATATTGTGAAGTAGATTAGTCCATTTCAGACCCCCAAACATACACGTACAAACGCACTTACATAAATACACTTACATAATTGGTCACATTGGGAGATGATCGTTATGCGGGGGTCCACTGTACAGTGGACCCCCGCATAACGATCATCTCCGAATGCGACCAATTATGTAAGTGTATTTATGTAAGTGCGTTTGTACGTGTATGTTTGGGGGTCTGAAATGGACTAATCTACTTCACAATATTCCTTATGGGAACAAATTCGGTCAGTACTGGCACCTGAACACACTTCTGGAGTGAAAAAATATCGTTAACCGGGGGTCCACTGTAATCTTTGATCTTGTATATTTACATAATGTAATTACAGTATAGTTATAGTAAAATCTTTATATTTTAATAAACAATTTAACACAACATACGTCTCCCACCAAGGCAAGATGACTCGGAAAAGAAGAAACATTTAATATTTTATACCAAAGAGGTTACCAGCCCCTTACTCCCAATTTTAATAATAAAATAACATAAATAAAGATGACTTTATAAGTTCACATTTGCATAAAATTAAATAATGATATAGCAAATTGCCACTATAAAAACTAAATTATTATTATTATTATTATTATTATTATTATTATTTATTATATTATTATTATTATCATAACTAAGTACTTTAACCCATTATAAAAACCAAAAAAGCCAGTTTCATTGTGTCATGTCACGTGACATCTTCGCCTGAGTTCGTGACCTCCCCTCTTAATTAATGTCCTGCCATCTACATCTTAACTCATACACTGGCTGCCTTTCTCTCCGAAAATCCCACTTTCAGTAAAAACTATTTTGTTAACGGAAACTTACTTATAAATCAAAACTCCTGTTTCACTTTCTCACTAACCCTTAATTTTTCCAATCATTACTATATACACCCCTTAAAACACACTGTTTTACAACCCATTAGATTTTAATGCTTTTTTTTTTTTAAAATCTTGCCGTCCTTACCCTTACCAAGGACCCAGTGGAAATAAGTCACTGACTTTTTGGGGCTATCCTAGGTAATTAACACTTTTGTTATGTGCAATACAATCGCAAACATCAATTTGCTGTCTGGCAACATTGCATAGCTCCTGATGATGCATAAATGTGAAAGCTCTAGAAAGCTCCCATGTGGCTTGTTCTGCTGTCACTCTATGATAATTATGTGGACCTGTACCTAGATAAACCTATTTTCCATCTCTTTCACCTCTGCTGTGCAACACTGTGTGACCCACATTGACTTAACTCTTGATGTGAACTTGTAAAAATTTTAATCTAGCTAATGAGGCTATGGAACATAGTACAGTGGACCCTCGCCTAACGATATTAATTGGTACCCGAGAACGAATATCGTTAGGCGAATTTAACGTTATGTGATGCGTTCGTTAGGCGAGGGTCCACTGTACATTGATATCAGATCTTTGTCTTTCTTAACAGTGCTTTACCATCAAAGACGTACATAAATTTTGTGCTAGAAAAATGCTAGTTTTGTTTCATTACAGTTAAAGACAGTAAACAGTGGCCACTAATAAGTTAGGAGTGCTTTTAAGAGGGTTATTTGATGCTAAAGGAGTCTTACTTCAAGGAATTGGAGCTGCACTTCCCTTCGTCAGATCAAGCCTTATACCTTACTCTTCTCTACCACTGTATGAGTTTTGTTAGTTTGTGCTTCTGTGTATATAATAGCAAGAGTAATGAGCTCACAGCTAACACCATCCTTCAACGACACGTTTAATGCAGATTTTTTTTCTATTCTTGCTCAGTCAACTCCGATTTGCTTTATCACTTTCACCCATTTTTTCTGTCAGTCTCCTTCCATCATCATCCCCATCTCTCCATCTCTACCTCTTCTTACTTCTCTATGGTGTACCTCCAATGCTTCCAAGTTTACCATTTTTCATGATTAGATCTGCTAGCAACCAAATAATTTATAATTTATAATTTAATATTTTTTACATTTTAAAATGTATATTTTCTTACCAACTTTAAAACCGAACATTTATATTGGACCAAAGCCAAGCTTGTATTGAAAAATGCAATAATTTTACTAAGCACCATATATCATCCTGTGGGCAGTAGTCACTAAAAATTACAGACATAATGTTGGGTCTAGGAACTGGGCCCCATTGCAGCAAATGTTCAGAGGCATTCTGACCAAGAAAGCTTAACCTTTCTAAAGCTTCCAGAAAATATATCTCCCCCAGATAATGAAATATAATATGGCAAGGAATTTTTTCGTGAAATGTCAGCTTGAGTATTGAAATAGTGTGGTATCTTTAAACTTAAACTTTATCAAACTTTTAATGAATAAGCTAATAAAATATTATGTTTCATTTATATATTTATGTATGGAAATGATATAACCACCAAACAAACATTAACTTCCAGTAGTAACTGGAGAAAGTTTGTGATTCCAAGTGAAAACATGCCATTGTTCTTTAAGATGTTTTAGCTTCCTCAGTCCTCACCTTGCACTCATATTCTGTGCATAAATGACCTTAAATTTTACTACAAGTATGTGATTCTGACTAATAGCTAGGTAATGCATGAATTACCGGTCTCCTTTAGAATGTGGAACTACTTCTTGTTAGCGACAATTTCTCCAGAGTTGAATTTGTAAGCAACTGTATTTTTTATGCATACGAAACCAAATTACATTAATGAACAGTTAATAGATAACAATAGTGCATTTAGTGAACAATATTACTGTTTTTTCAAAATAACTCAGCCTTAATGTTGCCGGCTGCTCGGTGCTTACTCGCCAACACAAGAGCGTTCTTGCTGAATAGAAGTTAACATTTGAAACATACCTTGACAGAGGGTTGAACATTATCGTACATTAATATAAATCATGCCATTTGTGAAGCACTCTGAGAGATGGACAGCAAACTTTCGTCTATTAACTTTTATCGAATTGTCTGACAATGTACGTAATATCATTTGCATTATTGTATGTAAGTGAATTAAGGCACTCTGAGCATTTAATACAGATTATCAAGGGAGGAAAAAGTAAAAAGAAAAAATACATAAATAAGTATAATCAGTATTTTTATTATCAGAGATTCAGACTCTGTCAAGATATTGCTTCAGTGGTAACATCTTATAGTCAATCATTGCCTTTCCTTACTATCTTACATTGAGTTGATTGTAAATCTTTTCCACACTAATGAAAAAGACGGTTAAGATAATGTATTTTTCCACTGATAAATCTCTTACATTCATGGAAAAACAGGAATATACTTACTGTATATTTCAGTGAGAAGACAGAACACGTCTTGCTTTCAGTACTGTACCAACATTTGGCTGATGCCTTCAGTCCTTATGAATGATCTTGGTGTATCCTAACTTCATGGTTATTCTTTAACCTAGTGGCTTATGAATGAACAGAAGGGTAGACAAGGGGCTTGAACCATGGTCCGTAAATTGACAGTAAATTTACGGACTGCAATTTGACCCCTCGTCCACCCTTCCATTTATTCATCGGCAGTTGTTTATTACAACTTAATTTAAGTTCTTGGTGGCTTATATTTAATGAAGATATAAATAAATTAAAACCTCCAGGTAGGCAACTGACTTGGTTATCAAATTAGCCACCAGTTGTAAAGTAAAAAAAATCTCCAAAATCCATATACATAGATGTAAAAAATATATATTGTATGATTCACAGTTAACCAACAAATTGGTAATGAAAACAGTTGATATTTCAGCACATCCTGAACCATTATCAAGACCAGGATAGCCCAAAATATATATATAGTTTTATTTTCACTGTGTGGGTTAGTTGTACAGTGTACCAGCCCTGATACTGTGACAGTCACGGTACTGTGACAGTCACGGCACTGTGACAGCCACAGTACTGTGACAGCCATGGTACTGTGACAACCACAGTACTGTAACAGCCACATACTGTGACAGCCATTGTACTGTTCCAGCCACAGTACCGTTCCAGCCACAGTACCGTTCCAGCCACAGTACCGTTCCAGCCACAGTACCATTCCATCCATGGCATTGTGACCTATTCTTCATATATCCTCTAAATTATTTAATATATCCCCTGTTTGGTCAGATACCACAATTAACTGGCAGACAAAAGTTAATATGTATTCTTTAAAAATAGTTTTTTGGATTAGAAGCCTAACATATTTAACTCAATCTAAATTCTCTCTTCGTAACAATCTCAATATAAATCTTTGTTATAGGATTAAGTATTTACTTTTATGTATTAATAATGTAAATCATTATTATTATAATTATAACTAAGCGCTAAACCCATAAGGGTTGCACAGCGCTGTTAATAATGTAAAAATGGCAGTTTCTAAACGGCACACAAAAATGTAGCATTTAAGTGTCTATATAAATTTTGATATAAATTCCTAACAAATATTAGTTATTGTAATGTTACAGCAAATGGTTGTCAAAATATATATATATACATGTATATATATATATATATATATATATATATATATATATATATATATATATATATATATATATATATATATATAATATATATATATATATATATACATGTATATATATATATATATATATATATATATATATATATATATATATATATATATATATATATATATATATATATTATATATATATATATATATATATATATATATATATTGCAAAATATAGTCTGGTTAAATTTTTTATTACACTTTAGAAAAAAAATGTTAAATGTGAACAGATTTCCCGATATCACATTAGACTTACTGTTAATAAAGTTCTCAGTATATACATTGTTTTTATGATGAGAAATAAATAAGAACGTACTTGTAAGTACAATATACTATGTACTATACATTGCTGTAAGGAAATTCTTTAATCACCAAAAAAATTTTAACGGCAAATTATGGCAGCTGAAAAATGTTTTTTTCTGTATTAAAATCATTAATTATCCCCTTTAATAACTCTCTTAAGATCACCTATAATATCTATCTAGTTCCATTTCTCATATATTTATCAAATCTGCAAGTGTCTAGGTATGATGATCATGGGTACAGTTTAACAGATTATGATGAATATTGTCATA